TACTAAGGACTGGGTGACCGTGGGAGCCGTGAGAATGGTATATTCCGGATTTTATTATGACGTCTGTTTTCTCACTGTTTTGATATCATAACGAGCCAGATTTCTTTGGTGTCGTTTTGAATCTGCGCGGTCACACAACATCCATAGCCCGTACACAAACAAATAGCACAAAAACTTTCAAAAGTCCTGCTCGCTATCTTCTGGATTAGGCTTACAGACTGAGTAGTATCACAGGATCCGATAAATTTAAGGGAGGTGACTACTTTGACGCGGTCACTGACGCGCCAGTACTTGCGAGCGTTCCTACGCTCCACATTCGACTCCCAGATTAAGTTGCACGAGTCCATGACCTTTCCTTCGTTACTATTTATTCATCATAGGGACACGTACTACTAGCTACATCAGCTGATGGCTATTTTATTTTCCTCCCTCTCTGGACCTTCTGCGAGGCATGTCGGCGTTTAATGGGTACACATTCTTCAACCAGCAGTGAATGGCGACATTTCACGGGCATTATGTTGGCGTGCCAACTTTCTGTGAGTAAGGACGATGCCTGGATATTCCTTTCTCCCAGTACCCTCTCATTTCTGTTTGTAATCTAGGGATGTATTCCCCGCGCATCACCCATGGATCTTGAATTAGGCTGTGACAATTTAAGCAAATCGAGTGTGGTGCGCCTTGTATCGGTTCCGCACTTACCGTTTGACGACATCCTTATGATATGATAGGCCAATGTACCGAGATGGAGGGCTAGAAGTAGTGTTGTGGGCAGAACTAGCAGAATAACCGGGCAGAACTAGCAGAATAACCGGTTCTGCCGAGTGGCATAACTCTAGCGGTGAGATTTTCCTATCTACAACATCAATGACAGTCCTACCGAAGACATTAACGACGCCTCGTCCCATCCATCGTCCTCACCATCATGATTCACGACATAAACCTCATCTACAGCAGCTTGGGGTACTATCCCTCGGTCAACCCGCTCCAATTCGGCAAAATCAAATGCCTTCCCTTCAAGGACCTCCTCCGTGTTGTCAATACTCACATATTCTTCCAGATTCTCCTGTGCTTCGGGAGCAACAAATGCTTCGGCGATTTCATCAGCTGATATGGTCTTGGGACCTGCAAGGAGGTCGTCTACATCTTGTGGTTCTGCTGCAAGTGGAGACACCCATGCAAAATTGGCTTCCAGATCCCGACGCCAACATTGATTCCAACCTCCTCACGAGTGTGCATATGCATCTGCTGACGATGTGCATCCTTTCATTCTCCTCCGCTCTTTTAGCTTGTCTTGATGCTCACAGTGATCGTTGATTAGGGATAGTACTGGACGACCACCAGCATGGACCACATTCTGGGACGAAGGATCAGGTGAGAGCGTCTGCGACTCTGTTTCCACCATATCAAAGATATATAGTGTACATATTATCATGGACTGGCTCACTGCCAAGTTACCAACTCTGAGTTCTGCCATCTGCCAGGCACCACCAGTTCTGCTCACAACACTAGCTAGGAGGGAGGAGCAGGGGCATTGAAAGGAGTGCTTGAAAGGGGCTGTACAGGTGAGTCATCTGTTTGCTTCGTTTGAACCTCCCTTGTTTGAAATTATTTTACATGTCCACATTGTCCAGCATAAACCCACCTTGTTGAACGACCTCGGAAGTGCTGTTACGTTCGGGCCTGTGAAGCGGAGACTGCGCATACTCATCGAGCACCACTGAGATGCCAGGCTTCTTTGAAGCTCACATCACACGTAGGCCGTTGTTAGACCAAGTTTTGCATCGGTTTTCAGTTGATTTCGCGCCGAGGGGTGTGCCTCGGCACCTGCGTGGCCGGGGTGAGAGACTAGGATATCTCCGGCTGTGCAAACTGATGCCTGTCACTAGTACCACACCCATACCGCGTTGCAAATTGAAGATTCTGCACTTACCATTCTGGCATAAATACAGGCGATGTTCCGACGATCTCGCTGACAGATGTAGTGAGTCTTCTTCACTGATGCCTGCTATTCCCCTCCAATTAACCGCGGCGCCCTGCCGAGTCGCTTAGGAGACAGAACTATGAATGCAAAGCAACACAGCATGACGCCACTGTAGTCACCAGAGCTCGATGCTTATATATGTTAGATAAGCACGCGTTTCGGGCGGTTCAGTATCGGTGTCCACCCTGCCGTGCTGTGTATTTGCAATCCGTCCTCTGAGAGCTCTACTCCCTGAATGGAATTTCACATCAAAATCATATCCACGACGGCTTGTCAAGCCATATATAAGCATCGGAAAACAACCGCAATCAACGAAAAACATTGGTAGAGGCTGTATTTCGCATTCGCAAATTGGTTATTCATGCTTTAATACAATAGACCAGATACATCAATTGCACAATGGATTAAGCGTAGCGTGCGTTTACATCAGAGTGGCACTGCCCTTACTGTTCTCACTCCTGTGATATTGCAGCTCAGATTGACTGTTACTTCGTGGCATTTACTTCTTTTTCTAACATTTCTAGTGGCGCTTCCAACAGTTGAAGCCCAGCTGACGGCGCTCATCGAGAACTATAATCATCAATCTTTCAGAATATACTTTGAAGACTTCCTGTGGACGATGCTCGGGCTTTCGTCTCTAATTAATCCATCCACATTCGATCAACCGCACGCTGCAAATTGAATGCGATGTGTCTTGTACTATCCGATTCCACACTAGTGGCCATTTATTAGTATCCTTACAATGCGATAGGCCCAACACCCCCATTTTCTACCAATATGACCATAGTCTACAATGATCCCACATGGTGGCCGATCATCAATGCAGATCGTTTGTCTAGCTATTTTGCAGGTTCGTGGAGAGCAATTGGATGTCGAAGCTGATGTCTCGATCTGACCTTGACTGCGGTTTCGCAGTTGCCTCCTTTGTTATAGTAATGTATGATTGGGGTGAGCATGATAATATCAAAGAACTACTGACCACCTACAAATATTTTTAGCACTTACATTGGGACAAGAGGTATGTTGGTACTATGACCGGAGCAGCCATCTCGCTAACAATGATTCCATAGGTCGAATTGGTCTGGGTGAGTGGAGCCTCATGTCAGAGGAACACGTATGAAATACACTTAATTATAGAGGCAACGCTGGTCCCCAATGACAGTTCTGTATCTCGGTGTATGTAGCTTGCCTGTCACTGTTGTCATTTTATACTGACTTGAAAATATCTTAGGTGCGTTACCTTGGAATCTTACATGCTACGTATGTTCGGAGGGCTAGACAATCGGTGTTGTGCTAATCGTCTATTTCTCATAATCAGCCTCGACACTCTGAGTATGTTTCCTCAGTACATTCACTGTCTTTGCTTCTTCTGACCAACGGCACACAGGCAGTGTTCCGACCATCTCGCTAACAGATACAGTGAGTCGTCTGCACAGATGCCTACTCTACTATTCCCCTCCAATTAACCGTGGTGCCCCGTAGGAGTGGGTGTGGTTTTTTACTGATTTTTTGTTTCACTAATGACCGTCACACTATACTGCCATAGATGTGAGTCTGTATGGAGTGTGTGCCACCCGTCACTGACCGGATTCGTCAGGCTGGATTATGTCCGCCATATTACGGAATTGGGTGTTTATTTTGGTACTTCGCAATGCTGTGGGGTAAGCATCGCACTTGCGAGACCTCACTGATATTGACTTGACTGAAACATGCTGCAAGCCATCATGATCACTCGGTTACATGCTATGCATCAACGATCCAGAAAGATCCATATATTTCTCATTGTCATCTTCCTGGGTGCCAACATCTTCAACATAGTGGTCGCCACAATGATAACGATACATACTCCGGGGGGTACGCTTCATTATAGATGACAAAAAATGTCCATGGGGCTTATTGATGAATACCAGAGGAACTCATCCTCTCCGGCACCTATCAGTGCTCGATTGACTACACGAAAGATACACTACTTCTAATTTCCACTGCTTGGATACTTTCCACTGTGTGGGAGGTCCTCGCACTGTGTCTCGCAATCTGGATTGCGGTAAAACACTTCCGTGAACTGCGACAAGCATTCAGCAGGAGGGATTATCGGGGACTGTTTCACGGTGTTGATGAAAACTCACGTGCTTTACTTTGCAATGTGAGCTCATGTTGTGACTATTGTTCCCTTTTTCCACTGAAGGGTCGGACGTGGTAGCTTTGCTGCTGTTTCTTGCATCCAGCTCATTACTGGTTTCTCTCCAACACTTTCAGCGGTATGTCAATCTTTCACTTACCTCTGCATGCGGCCACGGTTCATCATTTCTATAGGATCAATCTTCTCTAGAAATTCACACTTTTTATGGCTTGCTTCAGATTTTTGGGGCCGTGCAGTTGTTTATGCTGGGACCCCGCCTGATCCTTAGCATTCGAGAGTATCATGCTAAGCTCGTGGGCGATGCCGACGCAGCAATTGGCATGACCTCAATTGCTTTCCAAGAACGCGTGCATATATTGACTGGCAGTGGTGTGTAATGCTCCGTGAAGTTAACAGCTGCCTGGTACTCTACGAAGAGCAGGGGAATTTGCTTTTATTTATTCCAACTTTCGTGATGGTATTGATCAAGTTATTTAGTGTTCCGAAGTAGATTTCAAGGAGATATAGGTCTGGGCAAAGCTTTCGTGATGGTATTTAGTGAGGTGATTTGTTATACGTCCTGACAATGTTTAAACCAATATCCTGGATATCTCGACTGGTACTACATAGCTTCCCACCCACACTTGCACCAGCCACTGGTCCTTCTTTTCTTTGTGTGATGACAATCACCCCTACAACTACTTGGGAAAATGGGCGTGCAAGAGTCAGGTCGTGCAACACTGGTGCTGCAGTTCCTCAGTAATCCGTCCTTGATTCATCTTCTCACCGCATTCAACGTTCCATGCACACGACTAAGCATTACAGAGCAGACATATAGCAGCTATATCAACATAGTAAAAGTACAACCTCGATTGCATTACGATGGAACTTCCTATGTTCTTCACCTCCAGTCATCGTCGTCTGAATCTTCCTCCCATTCCTCACCTGAGTCGTCGTCGGCCAAGTTCCAAAGCACCTTTAGTTGTTGCCATACTTCTTCCAGTGCTGATTGCACGAAGAGATCATAATCGGAATCCCTAAGGCTATCATACCACTTGAACTTCGATAGATTTGGGAATACCTCAGTTAGGAAATATGGAACGCGCGCACAGTACGACACCTCCGACTCTCCAAGATGCAGCTTGTGAAGGGCTGTTTGCATGGGCCAAAGCTCCTCCGTCCCATCAGGTGCCCGAGGAGCTGTCGTCGGTTGTGTAGCATCAAGCGTCAGATGTAAGGTATGCAACGACCTGCACCTTGACGCCAGTGACATCATGGCGGTGAAGGTGACGGTACAACTGGAACATCTCCTTGAAGCGAACTTCAATTCCTGAATATCCGGCCAGGCAACTGCGACATCATCGATGAACCTATCGTCAAGGTTGTAATTTCCAATACCGATGAATTTAACAGACAATAGATTGCTGAACTTGAGCAAGGGCCGGAAGATTTCGGAGGGGAGTGGGATGACGAGCTCATTATTATCCACATGTGAAGCGTCGAACATACATATCTGTTTCAAGGATCCAAAAGTTTGGCACGACGTGGACAAGGATTCCATGAACGCAGCAATTTCGGTCGGGGAAGCAGGTTCGGAGTACGCGATATTGACGTACGATAGTTGTCGGGCGATGATTTGACGAAGGAAGTGTGTGGACTGTGACAAGGAACCGCCAAAGAGACAGAGGTACTTGAGATTATGCAATTCAAAGGGCATACCACCCGCATCGTAGGAGGTCCCGTGCAAAGCAAGCGTGAGGGTTTGAAGACACTGAGCTTGCTGGATATTGGTGATTGTCTGCCTCGTCAGGCACACATCGACTCCATGAATGGTCAGTGTAATTAACTTTGGCAGCTTTCCGAAACTCGGAGGAACCGTAAAAGTGGTACCACGGCCCGCCGATATTGACAGTTGACGCAGGCCGTACGCTTCTGCAGGAAGGGCATCAAGCAATTGCTCTACTTCATACGTCGGGACACCTCCAGGTACATCAAACATGAGCACTTCCAGTCCTGGCGACATGAACTGCCGAAGTAGCAAGAATTTTGAACTACACTCCGGCAGATCAAATACGGCCCGGAAATCCAATACGCAAAGGTTTGGGAAGAGTGTGGCGGGAGGGAACCGCTCGAAAATCCTCTGTAGGGCACGACCACTCAGGCTAAGATGTGGCTTTGTGGGAAGTACAGAACTAAAGCCATGAATAAGAAGTCGGCGCACTCTTGATGCGTTCATTCTGAGGCGCTCCCATTCAGTAGGAGCTGGCTCTCTGGAAATATCCTGCAGATCGGAGTATGGTGAGTATTGTCCTGTCAAGATTCAAATGGTATACTTCACTCACGATAGTTTGATCCTCTGCGACCTCCCAGGTGTCTTGCGGTAGACACATAATGAGGGGTGCCAAACTTGACTGTTCGGACCAGAGGATATCGAGGGCGGGACCTGCCAGTGTGGAGCAGGTCATCGCCACGTTCACCAAGTCCTTCGCAGAGGACTTGACGTGTTCTAACACGGCATAGATGATATCTTCGGATTCAAGAGCGCGATGCATGATTAAAGTTGTTGGTGGTGTTCAGGCATTTGCACAACACCCAGTCTTATATATAATCAATCTTACAATGATTCACAGACCCACAGGTCTTCTTGTGATTTGTTCGCCTGGGTGTGACCACTTGCGGAGGTCATGACATTGTGGACTCCATCGGCTGCTCCCTTGTGGACAGTATGAGACCTGACAAGATATTGTTCCACTTGGACTGTAGCTATGGTCCACCACTGTCGCTAAAACGGCATTTTCCCGCTTAGATGCAGTCTGTGCAGAGTACTTACAGTACGGTGTTCCCTGTAGAATAGCCGAAGCAAAATAGACGCAATGGTTGTCCACGTCAAATCGTGAAAGCCTCACCATGTATGTGGAGTAGCTTTAGGAGCAGAGCGCTGGCAGGATCCAGGTGCTGAGCACTTTTCTCTCAGCGTCGGCGCTTGTTGGTTGTCCTCGGAACACCGGCCAAAGAGGTTTATAAAGGTCCGAGCAGAGATTCAATGTACTGATAATCTAAGCAATGGTCAAAGTCCAGACCGTCGGGATAGTTCGGCTGAATGAGAAGAACATGGTTTGTAATAACACTTCAACAGTCAGAACCGATTGTTATTTGAAGTACAAAAGAGACAACTGGGACCCCGATCGTTAAGGAACTTGGGCAAAGGAAGCACGGTGCAACGACAAGGAAGTTAGAATCCCACTCACCTTCAGAACAATATGCACCGGAGCCCCACCTCCAGATACTAAAGGAGTCCATAGCTAAGCCCATCGGAGTTCAAAAGCAGAGGACGCTCATCGTCTAGTCATCGCATTCGGAATCACACTTGAACCAGACACGATTCTCGCCGAACGAATCGATACATCGAGAAGTAGCTGGAATTAGCTTTGAGCAAGATGCTGGATCACTCGGTTACAGTGACCGATGATCGATATCCTCTGCGGTTCCTTTCCCTTTTTGCCTTGCTGTCTGCCTTTCAAGTTTCAAGCACCAACACGATCATTTCTTTGCCGTTCAACAAACTGTCATCGAACAGCTCCCCATGCGGACCGTCAAACGCTGATGCCGATGCTTCCTACATAGGCTTCTTTGATCATGCTAGTGGAGTCTTCATGCAGGATCCTTCCACCTCTGACTCTGGTTATCCTTCGAAGTTTTCAGACACGACTTCTTCCACTGCGTCTTTTCCTGTGCTCTGCTGGTCCTCCCTTATTGTTGTCTTCTCAGGCTAATTCACTTCTATCTCACTTCTATCTCGTGAGATGCGTCGTCTAGCTCGCTCGAGTCGTCATTGCCTGCAGTTGGGGACCGAATCGCTTCGCTTAGAAACGCCCGTGAATCGACCATGATGTATGTAGCTCAAGAACGAACTATTTCAGGCCCACGCTACGGCATGGTCTTATAACGAGGGCGACAATGGTTACACAACTTTGCCAGCATGATCATCGCCTACCTGGGCCAAATGAACACACTGCATGGCCGGTGCATTGGAGTATTGTTGGGCCAACCACATGTCCTATTTCATTCTTTGTACTCGACCCTTTGACCATCGCTTCAGCTACCTTCGCTTGTTCCTAGCGCTTGATACTCCCTCTCATACATATAACTCTCATTTTTTTACTCAATCTAATTCCAATTCTGATCCGAGTTCATTGTCATTCACTTACTGCGTCTCAACTCTACATATCTCTATCTCTATCATCATCACTCTTAGAAGCGTCCACCAGAGCCTGGCTAGTGGTCACTTCCTCTATCATCTGTGAAGACTGCGCCCACTGCACCAGCCGTGCGTCTTACATCACTCGTCTCCATTCCCAATTGAACTTGCCCTAATTCCTGATGCGTTTATGAGCTTGTGCGATAATGAAGTTCCCATTGACTCCGGTGTCTGAAGTGACATCCTTACTCATCGAGATTGTCGCAGACAGTGTCACTTACTGTTTAATTAGTCTCGCAATATGTCCTCCCTCAGTGAATTCATGAGTCGACCTACTAGCTCTGCGTTCTGACGGCATATTTAATGACATGATCACCCATAATGTAACTTTTGCCGGACAGAGTCAGAGAGACTATCATTTAGGACATCTTCTCGGATTCGTATAGATCATACAGTCGAATAGAGTGTACACCATTACTGTTACTGCTTGTATGTATATAATTGCATTTATATAGACGATGTGTTGGGTTGTGTCTGGCGTTGAACGTTGAGTGTTGGCACCCCATCTCGCGGAGAGACCCAGACAGGCATTAGTAGTAGTACATTAGTAGTGGTAGTTGGCCCGTGTAGCCTCAGGGTTACTTGAGTCGGGTCAATTTCTTTAATATGAGTACTCATAAAACCCCAATGTGTCAAGCTGACCATATAGCAAACAAATTTCGTTTCATAAATCATATGCATATGCATACACATAAAACACGACATACACGAGTAGGTAAACCAGCACCAAAACTCTCTTCAGAAATCAACCTCCGTCTCGATAAAATCAATGATGACAACCCTCCTGAGATCAATCAGTTCAAATGATGCCCATGCTGCTCACGTCAACGATGCGGCGGTAACGGCCACCAGCGCGTACATCGAGGTGACGACGTTCGGCCAATGCCATATGTATGTACCATTGAAGTGTCTTCTCGGGAGAGCGCGGCTCGTCCATGTCGAGATACAAAGGGCGCATATGCTCTGGGCAGCGTTCCTTGCAAACAGGCACCAAGGGATAACGATTGATCATTCCACGGAGGACGGTCGGGTCCTGCTCATGCGAAATCTCATCATATTGGGAGTAAGGCCAGCATGACCGTGGATAGGCTGGCGCAGGAGTCGGGACGGTGACATGGGATGGAACTTCCCGAATATCTACGCTTGAGCTGTGTGCGGAGCGCGAGAGTGTTGGATGTAGGGCGCGGGTGGTAGGAAGAGGCGGAGCGGGTGCGGTGGGAGGAGGGATGTTCGAGCGATCAGTACTCGACTTGGCGCGAATACGTTCTGCTAGTCTGCCACTGCGAGTATGGTCGTTAGGGGTCCGCAGTACATCCGCCGAAGCTTGATCAACAGTGGCCTTCAAAGAAAGTGCTCTGAAACCGCTGCGAGGGAGGCCCTCAGTTGGTTGAGGGGAATGGGGAAACTTGGCCAGCAAGTCTGCGCGCGTCTTAATGTTTGCGCGAGTCGGCCCATGGTAATATGTGTGTTGCGATAGTTTTCCATGGTAGATCTCGAGCATCCCTGGAGCTTGCTCGACGTACACGATGTCGGATTTTTTGAGGGGAGTCTTGCCACCATATGCGGGTTTGACCGGATCGTCACGAGGAGGCTCGCGCTTCCTCCCTTCTGAAGAGAATCCGTATGGCATCGATTTAGAGTGCTTAAGTGACACCTTCTGGTCGTCGTTGGCCCTGAGTGTATTGATCAGTATGATGATAATGAGTAGGACACGAAAACGGTCGACTCACTTTTGGAACATTTTCTTGAACGAATTCATGATTGATATAGGGAAACAAGGAATGTAAAGTTGCGAAGAATATGAGGTGGTAGTGTGTCTGCTGGTGTAGGGAATCTGCGTTTCAGTACATAAAGGTTGGGCTACTGTGGACGCACCACGGCATCTACAACCACAACCACAAAGCAATTGCTCAATATCTGAAAACCATTCAAGTGTGGATGCTCCTGCGAATGTTCCGATTACCCACCTAGAATCAAATCAGTGGTATTGATGTGGCCCCATTTGCATCACAAAGGTAGAATATGCGACAACCAACCAATTATGGGCCACAGTTGCCACAAGCTGGCACAATGAACGCATCACACGTCCTGCTCATTAATACCTCGAGCTCGTAGCTTGTGCTCAATGAACGCGCGATAAGGCAATGACGGTTGGAGTGCATTCAGGCTGAAATATCAAGCAACCTGAAGGTGGTACAAACAGTCAACCAATTATTGATATTAATTCCGACGGAATTACACACATGGTCACTATGGCCTCTGTACGACTGGAGGATGGACTCAGGACCGATCACAACCCAGACATTGTTGATCTCTATAAGGGTCGAAATAATCTAACTCCCATCGGGATGAGTGGATCGTTTGCTCCAAGTCATGAAGGTCCAGTTACCTGTTTCATGGTCAAACGACTCAAATCCAGGACTCAAATTTACTAACTCTCACCATGCAATCCGCATACAATTCATAGTATGCCTGTACATCATCATGCGCGAATAGTCCTGACAGGAGCTATAGTCGCAATCCAGAGTTGCAGCAATGCAGAAGGACATGATCACAATGGTTTTTACTTTGAAAAGAAATTGGAAACTTTACCTATAGCAATGCGTCGGTCCGCAAAAAATGGAGGGATCAGGTGGTTGGAAATAAATTTGAACGGTATCGACAATTCGCAGTCTAGTTTGAAAAATATTTCATTATGGGAGCTAAGAATTTGGCCAGTTTTCCTTCCGACGAAGAGGCGTCCGGTATGTTTGTCTTTGTTAGGAATGGAAGCTCAGCACTCCTAGTTACCCCTTGACAACTTCTCCTCGATACGCTCCTCCATCTCTATTCGCTTCTTACTCATCTGCGGTGGCGGCGGTCTCGGTAATGGTTGGGGCGGGGTCCGTTGGTTGGGGTAGACTCGGATCCGAGGAAGCATCATTCGCGTCCACCGTGCAGACATCACCAACGACCCACTGCAAGCGAAGTCTGTCCCTAGAGTGCTCTGTTCACCGAAACGCAACACAAACCCCACAACCTAGATATTTTGCGGTCTTCCTCTGGCCTACGATTTCTTCTCAAATGCACATTTTTTTCGATCATCTATCCCACTCGAGGAGAAAACAGCAGGCTTTATCAAATGCTTCGGCCTCTGCTCAACATGTCGGCAAATCTTTTGGAAGATGTCCATAAGTAATGTACGTCGTTTCCATTCTCTTGACATGTTGTCAATTGACTAGGCTAGGTGACCCTAGCGTTAGACATATCTGCGCAGCATGGCAGCTGGCTTCTGTAGGAATTGTGAATATTCGTCGCGATGACGATGACAACTTTTACTGCTACGGCCTGTCACTCCTTAACAGAATCGAGAGAAAAGACAACGACATGAAAATGATCGTCCTTAACATGTTCTTCCACTGTGAGCTCAGTGCACGGACTACCCCCAAAGAGCACTCATAATACGGACGACATCAGGAATTGGTGTTGGGGGAATGTATGCCGTGGCTACAAGGCACGCAAAGTTCATGTAAGTCCCTCATCAGCTTCTCGAAAGTCTCGTGAAATCAACTAACAATCTGATACACACAGCTGTGTGAAATTGTTCTTCCCAACCTATTTCTCCCCACATTTGACTTGGACATCCCTCTGCAAATCTTCTTCCATCGAAGAGTGTGGAATGATCCAGTCGTCGGTGAACACGAGCTGTGACTGTTCACAGATTGAGCGCTTATCCTAAGGATCCTTCGAAGGTCTGTTTGTCTCCCCCGACCTCATGTTTACGGTTGCGCGATTGAGAGGCTAAAAACGGTTACAGCTCAAAGCGCATGGACGTGTGACAGACTTTTCGCCAAACATGCGTCTCGCTCGATGGTGTCGAGCTGACAAATTGCCCTTGTTAGCTCTTCGAAACGAGGCTTCGCATGAGGACGCATATACCTCCAACGGATATTCGCGTCGATCTTCTCGAGCCGTCTAATATGGCCACGGAGTGTTTTTACATTTCATCAAGGATTTTCCGTTGGATTCTTTTCTTGCTTTATTTTTGCCCTGCGGCGTGATCATTTTTTGACACCGTGTGACACCCCCTTATCGAACGCTGTGCTTATACATTCTTGATTCGCTCCCTGCGAACGCCGTGGGAGGTATGGAAAGGGATTGTGATCAGACGGTTTTATTCAAGGTCTTTTTGTGGATGATGCGTGGTCGACGCTGTTCTCAACATGCTATTCCGTTTGTTTCCATAGCCTTGCACAGTTAACAATGCTGATGATTTCCCCACCTCCCATCCCTATAGCATTCAATCAATTGCCCGATGGATTTAGGGTAGCGCGTGTTTTCATTTCGATGGCACAACCCACCACTACATTGTTCTATAACCAAGCCAGGAGATGGCGAATTCCGCACGAGGTGACAAATTCCTGGAACGAAGATTCGTGCTGGATGAGGGAAGCGGCGCACGTCGCATTGAATTAAGCCTTGAAAGCTAACCCTTGAGTGTGTGCATTGGCAGCCCGCAGAGATGTGAGTTGACTAGTACTATTATTACTTGGGGGCATTCTCTTCATTTTTGACTTTCTGATGACGTGCCAACAGGCCGTGACTTGAGACTCGGCATGGGTGCGCTAACTGAGAACATCATCATCAGATGCCAATGTCTCATGACATGAACCTGTACAACTTCAAGGCTTCCTGTGGTCATAAGGGCAATGCCCAGCCCAGGGTTTTCTTTCTCCCAGTCCCTCTCGTTCCTGTTTCTATTCCAGGTACAGTCTCAGAAATCATGGACAGCTCTTCGATCATTCCGGACATTTTGCGCGTGTGACCGCTTTGCTACTTCACAATCGACATTAACCTATGCTGTGTTATACTTATGTGCCGGATGGTGGTACTTATATCTAGCACGAACACCATCGTCATATGTTCATCAAATTCGCCTCTTACCTACACCCATTCTCTAACAGTATGACCATAGTTTCAGACGACCCTAGTTGGTGGCCATTCATCAATTCATACCGTGTTTCCAGCTATTGTTTAGGTTCGTGGAGGGCAGTCGGATGTGGAAGCTGATGTCTCAATCTAACCTTGACTTCGATTTCGCAGTTGCTGCATGTGTTGGAGTGACGTATGATTGGGGTGAGTATGATAATATTGAAGGACTGCTGATACCTTACAAGTATATTCAGCACTCACATTCGGACAAGAGGTATGTCAATGCTACGACTAGAGCAGCCATTTCGCTAAGAATGGTTTCATAGGTAGAATTGGTCTGGGTGAGTACTAGAGTCTCATGTCAAAGGAACACACAAGAAAATACATTTATTCCAGAGGCAACGCTGGTCCCTGATGACAGTTCTGTATCTCAGTGTATGTAGCTTGCCTGTCACTGCTGTCATGTTGTGCTGACTTGAATGTATCCTACCAGGTGCGCTACCTTGGAATCTTATTTGCTGTGTATGTTCGGAAGGATAAACAACCGGTGTTGTGCTAATCAACTATCTCTCATAATCAGCCTCGCCATGCTCAGTATGTATGCTCAGTACATTCGCTGTCTTTGCCTCTTCTGACCAATGGCATACAGTCGGTGTTCCGACCATCTCGCTGATAGAGTCTCCTGCACAGATGCCTGCTATTCCCCTCCAACTAACTGTAAGGCCCTGTAGGAGTGAGTATGATTATTTACTAAGTTCTTTGTTCAATAATGACTGCCACACTATCGTTACTGCCACAGATGTGAGTCTGTTTGAAGTGTGTGCAACCCGAGGCTGGTCGCTAACTGGATTTGTCAGGCTTTATTATGGTCGTCGTACGTAATTCGACGAGTGTTGTGGTAGTTCCAATGTTGTGGGGTGAGTTTGCTACTTTCGAGACCTCAGTGATATTGACCTGACTGAAACATGCTGCAAGTCATCATCATCGCTCGGTTGCATGCCATGTATCAAGGATCCAGAAAGATCTTGATATTTCTCATTGTCACCTTCCTGGCTGATAACATCTTTAATGGCGCGGTAGCTGTACTGCTACTGACGCATACTTCAGGGGGTACGCTCAATGGTGGATGAAAACAAAAATGCATGGGGCTCATTGGTGAATACCAGAGGAATTTATTCTCTCCAGCACTTATCAGTGCTCGAATGGCTACCCGGAAGATATACTACTTCTGTATTCTATTGCTTGGATACTCGCCACTGTGTGGGAAGTCATCGCACTGTGTCTCGCAGTCTGGATCGCGGTAAAACGCTTCCGTGAACTGCGACAACATTCGCCAGGAGGGATTATGGGGGACTGTTTCACGGTGTTGATCAAAACTCACATGGTCTACTTTGCGAGGTGAGCTCATATTGTAATTATTGTACCCTCTTTCCACTGAAGGGTCGGACGTGGTAGCTTGGTTGCTGTTTCTTGCCTACGGCTCATTATTGATTTCTCTCCAATGGTGTGTCAATCTTTCACTTACCTCTGCATGCGGCCATGGTTCATCATTTCTATAGGATACATCTTCCCTAGAAATTCAGACTTATTTTGGGTTGCTTCTGATTTTGTTGGTCATTCTGATGTTTGTGCTAGGACCACGCCTGATCCTTGGGGTTCGAGAATATCATTCTAAGCTCGTGGCCGACTCCGACGCAGCAACCGCCATGACCACAATCGCTTTCCAAGAGCGCGTGCATATATCGACTGGCAGTGGTGTGTAACACGGGAGATGTTAACAGTTGTCTGGTTGGCTGTAGGGAGTAGGAAAATCTGTTTTTTGTCCCCCTTCCAAGCCTCGTTGCGGTACTTATTTAATTTTTTGGTGTCCCGAAGTAGATTTCAAGTAGACAGGTCTGGGCAATATTTCCGTCGTAGTATTTATTCGAATCATTTGCTATAGGTCCTATAGCATATATATATAGGTGCTGTGCATGTCTGTATGCCCATGAGGCATGATAGTGCACGCGCGTGCAAGCCAGTTGGCATGAGTCGGAAATGGGAGGTTGAACGTTGAATATCGAATGATGGTGTAGTATATAAATGAATCGTGGACATCCCATACAGAACCTTGGATAGGCGAACAACAGGTTTTGCTGATCACACGGCAAGGTGCTGTACATCTTCCTCACGCACCACTTCTGGGTTGCCTCGGTCAGTTGGGGAAATGGAAAGATGAGCGTGTACTCGAGAGAGGTTGAGAGGATGGCCTGGTGACAGAAGGAAAGTAATCTCTGTGCAATATTCAATAGCAATGTTTCACGCAGACGCTAGCGTCCAAAGTGAACGTGCAACAAAGCTTACATGTAAAGTCGTCCAAATACGCCAGTGACAAGCACCAGCAACACTGGCGGGTGGGAGATCAGCACTCTAGCACAGGAACTTCGATCATGGCTGTGAGTCGACAAACGAATAGCACACCTTGCAAGGACGACAGCTGTGCTCAGGCTGTAGAAATCTTCTCTCTCTATCATTGCTAGGCTCTCGGTAACATCAACTCTCAATCTAAATTTCCCGGGCGGTCCAACTGACAATCAGTCTAGATACGAAGTGCTCTAGAGCGAAACTTCAAATGTCTTCGATGTCAGGCCCTGGCCGCACCTTCAACCGCATCCAGAGAATATTTCTCCCGTACTGGACTGTTTCGCTCGCGGAGACGCAGCCATGGCTTCCGTGCCAATGCAGGTAGCTGCAACGAAATAGACTGACATCGATAATGACCTTGGAAGGTCATGATGACAACATTGGATCCATATTCCGGACGGCCAGCAAATGATCAACTGATCTCGGGACAAGACCACTCGGTGATGGACGGATAAGGAGATTGAAGACACGCGGGGTGTTTGTAGGAAGATGCATATGTGATGGCAGTATCAAGGGATGGTCGATAAGTTGTCAATGGTGGTGGGCACGATATTCTAGAGCTGAAAGCTTGTGAAATTACTCGAGACAGGGATTGTGAAAAGATTTCAATGCCACTTACAGCGGATTACCTGCATTGATATTTTTTGCGGATGTGCAGCACACTGGGCTGGTGAGCAGGGAAAGTCATTTGATAGCGTGAATCTTGGATGCGCGTCACTGGCAAACTCGACTGGTCCATTCAATTAAGTGGGGGCAATTCCGTCGATTCTCAAAGAAGCTCGCAGTGATTATCAATTCGAAGTGATTGAGGAAGGAGATGGTTGGTTGGATGGCTTTGTGAGGACATTGGAGGACCTGGTTACAAGATATGTTGTGTAGATCGACAAGGCTAGAATTCGTTTGGTCAGTTTAGTTTCTGACTCAGCGTCTGTTTGTAGAATTCATGCAACGCCCACATCATTACCCGTTTCTGTCCACAGCCCCATACAAAAACAAAGACTTCTTTTCGCATGTCCTCTCTTAACGGATTCTCAACTAGGATGTCTCTGGCTGTGCAAACTAATGCCTGTCATCACCGCACTAACTCCACGATCCAGATCGAAGATTCTGCACGGCAACCTTATGAT